CCCCAAAACCCCAAAACCCCAAAACCCCAAGGAAAATATTTTATTTTTAATTAATTTATAAATGGGAAAGAACATTCTCAAGAAAAGTTCGAAGTACATCCTCTAGAAGGTCAGGAATAGGGATATGTAACATGGACAAGTCATTGTGTAGGTATCCAAGACCAATAGCCTTTACTTTCAAAGGGAAAGAGTAAGTCTACTCATTATATGACTTTTGGTTAATTGTGTGTAGAGAATTCAGGACCTTGTTTGGAGGACTCATCTCAATGTCGATTCAGGTGATCATTGTGCTCTATGCTTATATTATGCTAAAGATAATGATAGGTAAGACTCTCTGTTGCATCACTAAAATTGAGTCTAAAATATTTTGTGTAGGATATTTTTTATTCTTTTCTAACTTCCTACCTCCATGAATATTCCCGAAAGTTGCAAAGGAATATTAAGTTACTTGTTCAAGTCATTTATTTAATTTTGCTGTCTAAATCAAAGAGATGCAGAGAAGTTAGCAAATCAACTCTTTATGCATCCCAAAATATGCTATGCAGTTTATCGAAATAGCTTCATAAAATTGCCTTTGTAGTAGTTCCAAAGAGCTTACGTTTATCTTCCACCATATCAGTTTCATAACTACTCTTTATAGAACGTAATGACACATCGAAAAGTGTGAACACGGTTGTGAGTGGTAGGAGTGTTTTCACTGACTTGCAGACATATTAAATGACAAGTCTCCAGTATCTCTCAAGTAAGAAATAATTGTGCCTTTTAAGATTTAAAATTCTGAGATAATTCTTATTTTTCTGACTCAAATTTAGTACAACAGATTTCTCATTTGCATTTGATGCCTTTATACTTGGCGATGAGAATTTTGACTTTAACGATAACGAATACTTCAACATTGAATTATTCCAATGGATTAAGCAGCCAGGTAAGATTGCCCATAATAATCTACTCGAAAGCTTCATAATTTTCATTTTTATATATAACAATCGAAAACCCTAATACTAGACACTGGAGAACTAGATTCAGCCAATATTCCATATGAAAGATGTGGAACAAACTTGTTCCAATACTACAACCAAACCGAGGTACACCTTCCTCTCACTCTAGGTCCAAAAACTTGGAATCCAGGATTACTTATGCCCTCTCTCACGTGACTACATCGGTAAGCCCACTCCATTCTTCTTTAACCTTAAAATTCATTCCTGACTCAAAAGCCCTTAACTCCTCGTGCAGTGCAAGGGAACTCTTTATCGACAGACTTCATCTACCTGGAGTTCAACATCGTGAAGTGCACAGTGGACTGACCTCCTGACTTGGAAGATAAGATTAGTAGGCTCCGAGTGGAGATCCCCTTCGTGAATACTTACTTTGACTTTGATGACTACGCCAGTCCAGTCAAGACTTATATTGATGGGAGACTTGTAGTCGACATGCTTCCTGGCTATGTCAAGAGAGATGATTTGTTTATTCAGTAAGTGTGGCTTTCACTGTATAGAAAGAATGAAGCTGAGATCCAGGATAGCTACTTTGCATACCAGCCAGGAGGGTCCAAGAAGGAATTCGTCGAAATCCATCGTGTTGACTCTCGACTTGCTGTTCAGATCGATGATGTTGATAATGTCATTTACAGTAATTTTCAAATTCATATCTAGAACTTCTTTTTGTGAAAGATGCAGAGACCAAGTCTTATGAGCGCCAGGTCTTCAGTTTGCTAGAAGTTACAGGAAATATCGGTGGTTTATTCGAAATCCTTGAACGCACAGGAGGCTTCTTGGTAGCTCTATTTTCTGGAAGAATGTTCTTGTTCTCAATTCTTACCAAACTTTACCATGTCGAGGATCCTGAAGACCAGCCTAAAGGTATGAAGCTTCTGATGCTTTAGGAGACGACGATAATAAGAACAAGGTTCAAGAGGATCTCAATGTAAGCTAACATTCTTATATCTAGGATGGATCTAGTCATGTGAGCAAGAATTCAGGAGTGAATTTGATCAAGCCCAAAGACGTCCTTTCAGAGAAGGCTCACAAAGCTATGAAAAGGAGAATGAGATATCATTGGAAGGTCTCTGACTTTGTGTACAACTTATTCTCTCCAATCACTTGGCTTCTGTGTGGCTGGTGGATGAAAAAGAATAGATTGAATGCACATACCAGGATGAAGCTATATGAAAAAGGTAATTAGCTTAACCCCAGAATATTCTTGATTTTTCTATATAACAAAGAAATAGATTTCATCTTAAAAAGAGCTGAAGTTTTCTCCGCTCTATATAAATTTTACATCATGGTATCACTTCAATAGGAGAGGCTAAGTTTCTAAACGAATTCGATGCAGTATACTACGCTAGATGTATGCGTAACCTCAACACTCTTGTTGGATCTCTCATGGATGACAGCGAAAGGTTTATGATCACCTACCAGAAGACCAATTGCATTTCAGCAGATGGAGAAACTGAGAGCTGTTATAGTGATGATAACTATGATGATGTCCCTAAGATGTTTTCCAAAGCCAAAAAGAAACAGCATCAAGTCAAAGTTGATGATTTTATGGTAAGGGTTCTAAATTTTAGAGCCATTTGTGTAGGAGGAGTATAAAAAGGAGACTTGGACAAGCAAGGATTATAGATTGCTCAATGGGGTATTGAGTCACGAGCAGCTAACCAGTAATTATCTGAGGTCTGACCTCATAGATAAGCAACTTTCTGAGCTTCAAGATGATAGAGACTCAACTAAGTTATATCAAGACAATGAGTGTGTTGGAATTGGAAACATATCAAATCTCTCAAATAAGCTTCCAAAGTAAGAATGTACACTAATTTATAGAGAGGAATCTAAAATGCCAAGTGCTACAAGACCACCTCAGGTACATCCATTCTATCAACTTTAGTATAACTTGAATTCCATGATTCCAAGATCCTCAAATTGGCTCAATAGAAATTCTTCCATTCTAGAAGATTACTAACATTAAATATCAATAGTCATTATCCTCCCTGGGGTTTTGGGGTTTTGGGGTTTTGGGGTTTTGGGG